GACCATAAGCTCTTTGTTTGTCAATACCAAGTCCAATGTTGATGGTTGGTGGCCTGTTCCAAATCTGGTGGGATTCTCCACGTGATCATACATCGGATTTGAGTCTACAAACTGTGATACGTTTCGCCCGAAAGGGTGATAGTTCTGGCTTTTTATAAAATTGGGACAATTGCAGTCCCCATTATGAGAACATGAGTGCACTTTACCGATACAGCGTTTTTAATAGTCCGCCTCGTTACCTAAGTCTGAGGATGCAGGAGGGCGGTAGACTACCCCGATCAAACAATTGCTATCTTTGAACAGCCTCATTGCGCACCAAAGTGTGTCGGAGGCTGCATTGAAGAGATCGAGTGATTCACATTGAAGGTTGCTGCGGAAACATAGCAGCACACCGCCATCTCATGTAGAAAGATCATACTTCAGCAGTGACAATACGGGTAGGTGCAATTCCGAATCGGGAATATCGACTGTCAACCAACTTTCGGTAATGGCAACAAGATCCCACTGACCAGTTTGTAAGCGCATTTGAACCTCAGGGAGTTTGCTTAGGAAGCCTTGTGCTTTGTGTAAAAACAAGCTAGGGAGCTTCTGTTTAGGAATCTGCTGGGTTTCGAATCGTTATTTATGCCGACCACTCTGCGGTCGGCTAGCAGTAGCTTTTTGGGGAATCGGTTCTGCTGCTGTGAGCTCCCGAAGAAGTAGAGGGAAGTGGAGTTTGGTTTTCTAACTGATGACATCGTTTTACCTCATTATTCAACAGTGGTCTGAGGCGTAATTCTGGTGGTCCTCTTCTTCTGTTTTGATACCATGCCTGAAAGACTGATGTGACCATTTCCGGGGTACTGAAGTTTTTTTCATAATCCTGGGGCCGTTTCTACGGTAGTTTACTGAACACGGAAGTCAACTGACTGAGGTGGTGAAAATATTACGGCATCCAATCAACTTTTGAATAAACCTCCACTCTTTATAGTCGTTTTGTTGGCGTGTGGATTCGTCTGGATCGTTTAATTTTGGGACTCCGTGAATCCGTACAACTCTTTTATTTTCCGACTCGCGTGCATCTACTGGGTTCGTGCGATGGCGCACACGTTCGGTCCACGGTAGATCAGGAAGTATTCTTATACGACTAGAAACTTTGCCAAGGAGGTAACTAGAAAAAAAGAACGCTCTCGACGTCCTTCCCATCCTTCAAAGTATCGCGAAGTAGTCTGGGTTCCCCGGCGTGAGGTAAGGACGGTTGACGAAAGAGGCGTACTACTCTCATTAAGTGTACGTCAATGTTTACTTGAGTGCATGGTGCAGTCAAGTGACCAATCTCTTACACTTGTCTCTCCCTCAGTGAAGTTGCTGTCGCCTCTGGTACATTAGTGCAGATAACCATCAGGCATTTTTGAAGGCATTTTTCATATCTCTGAGCCTAACGGTCAGCTTGTAAACTCTATATTTCTTTACCATAATATTAAGAAATTCGGGTTTAAATGATAGCTCGAAAAGATATTCAATTGGTTATTCTATAGGAGCAACACAATCAAATCTGCAAGGCATACTAAACCGTCCCATTATTCAATGAAGCTGAGTAATCAACGCTTAAATTGAGTGGCTGTTTAAGCACTAGTATGATTCTTCTGAGAGCCTGCTCTCTTAAAGAAGAGTACTTCAGTGTAAAACAATCAACTCTATTTGCGCGATAATTAAGAAGTAACGATTAACAGAAAAATGATTTTATGAGTAATTCTATTCACAAATCGTGGGCAGTATTTCTCACAGATAAAACGTCGATCCCGTATTACTGTTCTAGCCGATTAGATCTTTCACCCCAGTACTCACCAGAGGTCGTTTAAGAATGGTAAATTTAACATAAGCTTAAAACCTCCGGTGGGAAATGTATGTATGGCTCAAAAGTTAAAGTGGCATATAAATAACCATATTTGACAACTGACAACTTCAGTGCTTGTCAGTAGGCAGCTCAGATCCATAGTCCACATATAGGCCTTATGCATGGACCTTGTTTATCACTTATGTATACACTCCTCGCCGGCAAAATTGTCGAAGGACCCAACCAAATTTGCTTACCTCATCATATGCTTACAGTGAGTGATTCTAAATTAACACTATAGCAGCCACAATGTTCAAGTCATTTGGAAGTAGTATTGTGGACCGCTTTTCGAATCGCTCAGTTGTATTCCCCAAAAACGGATTGTTTCAATGATTGCTTTACTCTTTCTCTTATCAAGTGAAACAACACATTTTCCCTTTGGTACAGTGGTAACGTAGTTTGAAATAACCCTACCACAATCAATTGTACAAAATGTTTCATTAAACGGTCGTAGTTGAACTGAGCAAGTTGTTTTGAAAAAGACCGACCTTTGGAAACCGCATCGTGACATTTAAACCCCACTAAAACAGTGTTATCTTCGTGCTACGGCCGAACGCATATTCCAATCCAACGCAAAACTGTTGTCTCAGCCTCGGATTTTACACCTTCGGTTTCATACTTGGTGAATGTCTGACCTTGATGTCACTTGGCTAGGATAAGACGGTAACAAAAATAGATATTTCCGGAAAAGTAAACGTGAAAAAGTGAAAAACGGTCCAGAGTAATTTCCGCCAGTTGTATTACAGACATCAACAATCGAAGTGTTGCAATATCTGTCTCCTGGAGAACACACCTGACAACCGAAGGGTAGCACCTAGTACACTAGTAACAAAATTCAAGGTGCATTCCGGATTGCACACACAATAAACGCCAAGAACGTGTAAATATTGCTTAGTGTGGATGAATCTTAATCTTTACCGGTTTTGCGCATCGTCACTGAGGTAACAAATCCAATACTGAAACCTTACTCACAGTGATAAATTTTCTCTCGCGTTGCAGCAAAATTTAAACTGCTAGCATTTGTGTCAGATTACATAATAGCGTGTGCAATCATATAAGCAGCAAAAGGCAATGACCGGTTCTAGTTGCACAAGGTATCCAACTTCTAATAAGTGCTCAACTATAAGAGTATTTTTGTTCACTGTGAACACGTCGCCATTGTAAAAACTGACTGGGTACTACTTTCACCAACAGAACGTTGTATGAGTAGACCATTTCGTTACTCTGTTTCTTTTCCACGTAAATTTGATTCAAATTCTGACAACAAAATAACAGACAAAGAAAACTCGGGGGCATCAACCCGAGGTAGCCGAGTCGAGTGCATTTCACTTTGACCAGTGCCCTATCCCACTGCTTCAATGTTTACATGCCTTTGGGGTACCCAAACGGGTGTGCGCATTTTTGTGCCTCATACAATACATATACCGGACACCACTGCAAACTAGGGTTTATCTTGATTGTAAAATATCCTGATTTCTCATGCAAACGTTTACTTCATCAAGTACACAACGAAGAATCCCATTGAAAACGTTTACCAAAAATGAAAAACGAGAAAGGCCATTTCAGAGGAAAACTCACTTTTCCAATTTTCTGAAAGAAGGTAGGAAAATACGGCAGTTTTCAAGAGGAAATCAATTCTTTATTATCAGTGCAAAGGGAAATGACAGTGAATATGTTTGCCTTACCTAGAGATTGGTTCATTTTCAATCGATGGAAATGAAGCGGATGTGGGAATTTTCACATACAAATCACAGAATCATTCAAACCCATTTGGACGAGACACCAAGGGAGTGCTATGTTACATTTCCCGTGTAGTCAAATGGAGTGAAATCAGAAGTAGCTTGAAGCATCTGAATAGTGATTCTTCACTTTGTAAGCCAGATCAAATATCATAAAATGTGAAACACTATATTCCTTTATCAACTTCATGATCATGGAGGAAGAAAACAGATGTTCCCAGTAGCAAGCATTTCACTTACGTCTCCCAGTTGCTTACGCATAACATTTCACCTTCTGTACCATTATAAATATATATATATAAGTATCGGGAATGTTAAACGGATCATTTGAGCAGTGAAACCTCGGGGATACACGGTGAGTTTTGTGTTTTGAGGCATGCAGTAGTGATTTGATGGCTGTGTTGCATCACACAATAATTTCATTCTTTCTGTGGTCAGTTATCTAAAACTTTATCAGAATTGGTAAATGTGTCTGATAAAATCTAACAAACCGGATTCTATTATGCGTAAATAGTATTGTAATTTTGAGAAAAAAATCATTAAGTCAACATCCACGCAAACAAGATGGCATACAACCGAGTTAAGATACATAACTGTGCATCATTATCCCTTGAACCCCCAAATAGTGATATTATCTAAAGTCTATAATCGGAATTTCTGTTTCACTGCTGTAGATATAATCAGTTGGTAATTACCATAGATTGTTGGGTAACTGGTAACCAATTCTGGTACACAAACATCCTCTTATTTATGCATGTTCGTATGCATTAACAACAGTCGGTAGATGTTATGGGAACAGGTCCAGTTGACACAATTAACCAAAAATGGATGGAACTGACCACGGTTTCGGTAGAAGTTTGCTCATTACGTTATTTGAGGCTGAGGTAAAGTTCGATTTATTGGAAGTATGGCATTTTACTGTGTAAAGTAGGTGTAAACAGCCTTTAAAAGGGAGGAAATGAATATCATAGAATATTCTGAAAAAACTTTCCCATATAGGAAATTGTCCGTCAGCGATAGCGTTCACAAGTGTGTCCCATGCTGCTATTTATTGCTGTTGGAGATGCACGTTTACACTCGACAACTGACAAAGAAACACACAGAAACGAGTCTTTACTGGTTCAAAGAACAAATCCCCGCATATTCCTTGTTTGCTTTATGACATACCGATCCACTGCTTGCAACCGCTCTTTCTCACGTAGTTCCGTTTCCGTGGGACCGCCGCCGAGTTGCTTATAGTCCGATTTTGCAAGCTGAAGCAACTGTTCCAGCTTTTCAATTTTCTTCTGTGCTCTTCCTGTAAGATGGAAAGAAACGATCACATCTCCAGATATTTGATTCACCGTAAAATGTTTTGTCATGTCGACCAAATTAAGACCAAAAAAGTCGAGACTCAAACCTCGCGCTGGAGAAACTCACCCAACGCGGCTTCGCGGTCATAAACCAGTTCTGTTTCAATTTCTCCTTCCACATAACCAAAAGGTATATTTGAGGGTAAGGCATCGTTCAGCCATTTCATTGTTTCGTCGTTCTCATCCTTTGTATTGTTGTCAGTTGATAGTTTTGTTTGAGGATCAAGCAAATCCAGAGCAGCTAGTTCACCATATCGACGAGCAATATCTGCCGGTCGTTCACCCAAATGATTGACAATATTTGGGTCAGCTCCGTTCTCGCACAGCCACTGGATGATTTTGATATGACCTTGGCCAGCCGCTGCAATAATAAATCAACAAGTGCACATATAGTTGGGTAGAGTCTCATTAAAAATGTCACAGAGTGAGTCGGAGAAAGGTTTCCCATATCAAATTGATAGAGGTTTCGTTGTACTCTATTTGCTATTCACGTGATAACTAAAGTTGATTTTCTATTTTTACTTACATCGGATTTTGCTCCGCAAGCTAATTCAGTTTTTCTTTTTGTAATGTAAACAGTTCGGTTTCGGGAGAGATCTATTGATCATTGTATTTGATACCCTTTTATCCCTTCATTAACAAATTTTCTTTCCTGGTGATTACCATGATTTTATCTAAAAAATTGGAACTCCTTTAGTCAATTTGTTAAAACAGAGAGAAAATAAATACTGTGAAATGTTAACATTTTTAGTCACTATAACGTAAGCCAATCTGGTATTTATACATGAAAGTTTTGATAATTGCAATGGTTCAGTCAGAGGAGGGAAGATCAAAAACATTGCCACAGTAATTTGACTGAATGCGTTATAAACGTTTGTACAAAGAAAATTGGATTACGTAACTTGATTACCATCGGTTCGCTGCAGGCTGAGCTCGAGTGTCATGTTATGTAATAAAGGCTTTAAGGGGCAGAAGTCAGTCAACTACGTGTCCAGTTGTTATGAGATATTTTGCGATTGGCCCTGATCGACCTCTGAGATTTTGTTACGACGTTGATTGGAATAACCACTTAGGAATGTGTTCGGATGTCGGTTGACAGGGGTCGATTTGTAGTATATTCCTTCAAAAACTGCGGCAACTGAGTACCACGAAATATCTGTCACAGCAGATAAGTATCAGTAGTGAGTCCACCCTCCCAAATGACGCAAGTCAAACACCTACACGTTCCACTTTCTGGATATATTAGGCCATGAACCGACAATATCGATTGATCAACAGCCATACAGTTCAAACAGAAGTCGTATGACTGGAAGAACAAGGACGGTGATTGATTGATATCCGTTTGACCAATGATATTTCTATTGTCACACTGTTTAATCCCATTGACTTCTCTCAATGAATAAACCGTCACTTCCGTGGTTCTTTTATAATATAATTCAGTAAAAAATTAATCGTCTTGTTCAAATTAGCGGCATAATACGTACAAATTTACCGAGTAATGTTTTATATTCGATTAACATGATCAGATTATTGACAAAAGAGTTTTAGGTAGGATAATTACGGTAAACATTTGTGTTGCGACTTCCAATTAGCATTGAATTCGGTGTATCGAGATAGTGTTTCTGTATGACTACGAAAATACATGCAGAAATTCTGGTTTGAAGTAGAAATTTTTCACAGCCAATACCTTTATGCAATGGAGTGCAACCCTGCTCATCCCTCTCATCAATTTTGATCACACCATTATCAATTAGCCGTTGCAAATATTGCAGATCTCCTGAGTAAGCTGCACTATGAGCGGGGAACGCGGTCTGTTCGAAGACATCCACACCATCCAGTCTATAATGCTGTCCCGCTTTGATTCGACCAATAAATTCTAAAATATCTGGTTTGAGAAATCGTTGTGCCAGTGCCTCCGCTGTCTCGCCGTGGTCGTTTGGTGTGTCCAGTAGATAGAGTGGCGTTTTGACCTGACTGACCAAACACTGCAAAACCGGCAAATGCCCTTCCAATGCAGCCAAATGAGCGGCTGTATTGCCCGCTTTGTCCACATCCTCTAATCGCAAGCCCCAACGTAGAAGAACTTGAACGCAACCCAGACGACCATGAAATGCAGCTGCATGAAGCATGGTCCAACCATTACAGTCAACTGTTTCCACGTCCTATCGAGAATGAACAGGATGAACAATACGTAACACACATATTATTTGCTACTGCAGCAAAAGTTTGAATTTAATCGGAAAATCAAGAAAGAAACTTAACGAAGACAAAAAAAGAATAACGTATGTTTTATAAAAATTCATTACAGCTGAAATGCAGCAGATCAATTACTGTTCCATGACATACAAAAGTGAGAAATTAGAACGGTGTTAGTAAATTTTAAACGCAACGCTTCCCGTCTAATGTAAGTGTGCTCCGTACCACTTGAACAAGTCTACTCAAAACAGATAGACAAAATAAATCAGTCTTAAATATGACAAATAGTTTCGGGAAGCAAATAGTGGCAATAAAAGCGGAAGCTATATTAAACGCAATATTCACATACTTAGTCAAAGCCAAACAAGTAATTTGAGTTTATACCGGTTTCGATGAAAACGTATTTCTTTGAGTTTCAGCTCAATTGGCAATTACAGCACTCGCAAACGTTCTTATGGTCCGTAAATTATTCACAACGGAGATTTTACTATATTAATTTTGAGGATTGATGGCATAAGGTGAGAGTTTCGGCAGCGTGAGATTCACCTGCGTGCGGTACTCCTCTGAGATGAGACATAATGTTGAATTTCTGGGCCCTTTCCATCCTTCTTGATCTTCCTCGTGCGTATAGTATCCCTCTAATGGAAGATCTACAACAGGAAACAATATGTTCAACCGTAGACAGTCTTCCTAAGCTTATTCCAGTTTGTTCAAAACGAAGTGTGTGAATAAAAGTTGCATAAGCTTCACCTTGGCTTACTTAACAGTTTTATGGAGGTAAGTCTATTGGGCACCCTACTAGAACCGCACTCTGAAGTAGTAAGAATCAAGCATGCTGGATATGCCTATAGATATTTAACCAAAACATCGCTTATTGAGTTCAAAAATGCTGCATACTGGGGCACCAACCGCATCCGTAAAACCACGAGTCTTCGACATGGACATTTGCCAGACTTGCGTTTCCCCCTTACGCGCTTTTCTTTGTAGAGTAGTCCCCTGGAAGTTGTAGATTACTTCCACATGAGCTCAACATGAGGGCAGAAAAGAGCAGTTAAGGAATGTCATTTGAAAGTTTTGAGTATCCACTGGGTGTGTCAGGGCGTTCACATTTTCCTGTAGCACTCCACGCTTCTTAACATTGTGTAGTATACCCCAAATAATAATACCTAGAGCATGCCAGACGGAAGCAGAAGGATACGAAACATGCTATTTTTCTTTACTCCTCAGAACTAAGGTTTTGCCAACTTTTATTGACACTCCATTCCTAGTAACAGCAGCAAATATGATAAAAATTAATGTACTCAGGAAATAACATTTTTTGCAAACGGTTTTTTGATACTTTTATGCTAATGATATTCAAGGTTTCTTTTGATGAGAAGAGCTTCTCAGCTGTTAGATTTTTAGACGAGTGATCGCAACAAAACACTTTGTTACCTAATGTGCATAGACGTATCATTCTATATACTTACCGCTCCAGATCGTAAAAGAGCCATCAAGCAAGAAGAATTGCCGTGTATAGCAGCCAAATGTCCCGGACTTTGACCGTGAATGTCTTGTGTGGAAAGACACACTCCTCTATCCGCCAGTGATTGAACGCATGGTTCAAATCCCCTGACTGCTGCAATATGCACAGCGGTCCAACCCTGTTTGGTAACGCACATGGTGTCCGCATTTTTCCATAAAAGGTATTGCAATATCTGTGGTATCATTAGTAACGACGTAATGGGACCTACTTCAATTGCACCCACATTTGCCGCCCAGTGGAGCGGAGTAAATGAAAGCTGATCAACTTCGTTCACATCAGCACCGTTCGCTACCATTTGTTTCACCTCCTCAATATCACCCCTTTTAACAGCCGAATGTATGGTAACTTTCTCACTCGGTCGAATCAACGTCATGATACTACAGACGAAAGCTGAAAGTCACAGTTTTTTAATTAAATAATGCATGTAAAATATTGACTTATCTACTAGTAGACACGCAATTTCTTCAACCTACTTTGAACTTAAAACCAACAACACCAGTTATGACAAGATAATTTGCTATCCTTTGATTGTGGATATCCAGATAAATTATCATAATATCGGAAAATTCATTGATCAAACTTAAGTGAAAAGTCATTNTTCAATAATGCTCTAGTTCTTCTTATTTGTATTTCTTTCCATATCCACAGATAGATCGTTGCTATCGGTATTTACTAATTTAGTCCTTCTTTTATAAAATAAAAGAGGGCAAACATTGAAACATAATAATAATAAAAATATTTCAATAACTCTCAAAATAGAGGAATTTCTTTTGAGCAAACTTTCATTATGTTTATCATTGAAAATTCAAAGTGTGTAGCGAAAAACAGTTTGCTTTTGGTTATTTGAAACCGCTCCAATACATCACTGTTCAGTTAAGCGGCTATTTTGGGATAGAAAATTCATATTAATGATTATTGAGAGTTGGCTTTTATTTCACAATCTTGTGTAGGATTTACACAGTTCATTGATAATTGATGAAATCTTGAAATTTCGTTGACATTTTGTGGCTGTTGGTTTGTGAGCAATCTAAAAGAAGAGCATAAGCACATGCAGTGAGAGAGTTTAATAAATCAATTTCTTCCGCGTATGCCGTGGTCGGTATTCGACAGCAAAACTGCCTGGATAGTCAACCGCCAATGCTGATCAGGAAGTCTAATTTCTTGATAAGTTCTTTGTGCAATTTATTCTATCCAGGCATAAACACAACACGTTAGATTGACTTAATTATTCCTTTATCTAACAACTAAAGGTGGTGTTCACAGATGACTTCGGATAATCACCAAGCCTTGTGCCCAGTATACAACGTTCCTAACAAATGAGTGGATAAAGGATAGCAGGATAGCATAGGATAGGATATCGGTAGCAGACGTTGATCATCCAAGTCAAAAAAGAACAAACGATCATTTGGACAAGGCCTACTTTCACCAACCATGCTGATTTGGACACAGTTTGAAGTGTTGCCTTAGGTGATGCATGCATCTCTAACATTTTACGCAAACTTCTGTTTGAATTACACGGTCTTTGACTTATTAAATTNNNNAGTTCATCTTTATGGATGATTATCACTGCTGGTACCTTGGATTCCCTAAACAGTCCTTCGTGAACTAGATAAGCTTTGTATGGCTTACGTAGTAACATGAGTAACTCCCCTGCGCATCTACCCTGTTCTTACTTAAAACCCAATTGGTCGCCGCACGTGTGCTTACAATTTGTGCACGCTGAATCACATGTAGGCTTCTCTACAGATTTTCAGGATACAACTAACACTGAGGTTTAGTTCTTGGTTTATCCGTTTGTCTTTTGCTTGTGAAACGTATTTCCTGGGCACAGTTGATGAAGCAACTGTTTTGGTGAACCCGATGTGATCGTTAACTTATCATCGGTTACCAGGTACTATAAACTAGTTTATTCAGCAATCGCCAATTTCCGATTTACTATGCGTTACTATGGTAACCGTCACTGTTAACCATACTCAACTGCAGCTGCAGCTCCAGTTAATACCATAAACTTATGCCATTCATCGTTCCCTGATAAGATCGTATAGGATCCATCGATCCTATCGATCCAATTTCAAGGGGATCTCCTTAAAATCTTGAAGAGGTTCTCAAGAACCCAATTCAAAAAAGAAACTCTCAAATAAGATGCGTTAATGAAGCGATATGCAAAACCATTCATAAAACGTAGAACTAGAGAGTTAACAGAAGCAGTGAAAAAATTAGAAAACAATCTATCTACTCGAATATTTGTCAGTATACAGTTGATATGAAATGAAGCATTTAAACAAACTGAAAGAAATGTCAACAGATCAAATTCATGTCAGGTTAATGATCAACATTTTCTCGCTGGTAGCATTAGCTTGTATAGCTTGCATTTTGTATACACTATTTGTTGCCTCTGTCATTTCAGCATTCAATCCAGTAGGGTGTTAACAGTTTCCGTTTCTGTATGTATCCAGAAACTTTACGCCATTTGCCAGAGTATCCAGGTTCTCACACTGGTGGGTTTATTGGGTCTTCCGGTGCTCCGACAATGGGATAAATGAAATTCCTCTTCTGTTAGAGATAGGGTAAGCAGACTCGGATGTCCCTACCTGCAAACACTGATTCTGTGGCTTATCAATACCCCGAGCTAATACGTATAGATCGCAAACGGACGTTCGTACGAAAACAGAAAGAAACGATTCACAAAACGGAGGACGGGTTGTATTGTTACGACGTGCAAAGTAAGAGAGAGATATGGAATCGTGAGCAAGCGTGCGGAAAGTGAAAATAAACACGTGCTAACCGAAGAGGTAGACTTGGTGTGATAAAACAATGCGATGCAGAGGAGAATGGAATGGAGTTTGATTGTTTGCTACAGATCTCCCCCCGTAGAAGGCTAGGGAAAGTCTACGATAAGGGTGCATGCATTGTTTCCTGTGATTTGCAAGTCCAAAAAAATAGGATCGC